CCGGGGGGGGGTTTAGGGGGCCCCCCCGGGGGGGGGCCCCAAGAAAAAAAGTATTCCCTTTTCCCCGCCCGGAAATTAGGATTTTTGGGCCCAAGGAAAACCTTCCGGGCGGGATTTGGGGGGGCGGGGGGGGGGTTTTTAAAAAGGAGATTTGGGAACAAATTTGGGGCCTTTTTTTTTTTTGGGGGGGGGGTTTTTTTTTTTTTTTTCCGGGTTAAAGGGGTTTGTTTTTTTTTCCCTTGGTTGGTTCCCCCCGGGGGGGGGAAATTTTTTTTTTAAATTTTTTTTTTTTTTTTTTTTTTTTGGGGGGGGGGAAAAGAAATAAAGCCCCTGGGGCCCTTTTTGAAAAATGGGGGGGGAAGGTTTGGCCTTGGGTTTTGGTTTTTGGGGGAAAAAGGGGGGGTTTTTTGGGGGGGGGGGGGTAAAGGTTTTTCCCTTAAGGGGTGAAAAAAAAAAGGGGTCCCCCCCCCCCCCCCCCCCCCCCCCCAACAACCATGGCCAATGCCCTAACCGCAATGGCATGCAAAACACGAGTACGCCCCCCGCCCTTAACAGCCATGTCTCTCGGACTCAAAACGAGAGGCAAAGCACGCAGCACACCACACGACACACCTCGACCGCGCCCCTCAGCATCGCCTCGAGCATGACCTCGTACCGCCTAGCCTCCTCGCCGAAGACGGACCCCTCAAACTCTCCCCCGACCACCGTATCCGCGGCGGCGGGAGCCTCTCTCTTTTCTGTCGCCGTCGTGGCATCGCCGACAAAACCGCCGTCGCCGACTTCCACCTCACCAGCAACGCCTTCATCGCTCCCGTCATCTCGGACGCCCCCATCCCCCTCCTCCTCCACAATCATCGAAGCTGCCGTCCCAGCCCCGCCGCTACCGCTGTCGGTACCGTTGTTGCGGTTTCCGGAGGCGCCCTTTCGGACGCGGCGGGCGGCGCCCTTGAGCGACGTCAGCGCGGCCGATATAGCGTGCGTGGGGCCGATGATCGAACCTTGCACCCCGACCGCACGCGCGACACCCGCAGTGGCTGGAGGGGGTACGGTTTGAATTGGGTACGTAGGTGGCGGGGGAGCGGGGGGCGGGGGGGGGGGGGTACTCATAGTTGTGCATGCCGTAGTCGTTAGACCATTGACCTAGCATCCCTACAAAGCCGGGACGGAGCACGCCGGGTTCTCATCGGACCAGGCTCTCACATCACCAAGCGCGAAGCGCCGTGAGGTATTCGGCGAGTCGCATGAACGGTGCGCTAAATCCTGCTAAGGGTGTTCGGCATCTTGTGCTTATTTCCTTGCGTACGGATGACAGCTGCGTATGACTTAATTTATTTTCTGGTGCTTTCACTTCCAGAGACAGTTGTAAGCACTGTGTAACTACCTCGAGGATGCTTGACCATTTTAACACAACGTGGTGCGATCATCCCCCTTGCGCGGAGTGAAGGTTCTCGACCCCGCACAACATGATCTACTCGACCACCATTATGGTTAACGCGAAAAATAAAACAGAGGCAAAAAAAACAATCGGTAACCTGGTTGCCGAGTTCACGAAGTGAACCGGCTTGTTTTACATCGTCGTTGCCAAGCGACGAAAACCCAATTCCGATGGCAAACACCGAGGGGGGGGCTTGTTTCACAACGTCGTTGCCAAGCGACGAAACCACAACCCCGATGGCAAACACCGGAAGGGGAAGGGATTTCCGGAAGTTTGATTCTCGAGGGTTCGGGTTGGGTTGATGGGTGTGGCTGCTGCTGTTGAAACCAGTCGCAGTGCCGATCGACATAGCGGGACCTTTCGAGCTCTCTGTGGCACGATTGGCTGCACGAAATCACACCATGAACTGATTACAAATGAAAAGTCACCGATTCCGCCGCACCACTGCGTGTGTGTGCGTCGTCCCGATACACAACCTGTGCAGAGAGACTGCCAAAAACCAGACGAAACACAGTGTCGGGATACTTTATTCAAGCAGCGGAAGTCGAAGCACTGTATGCACATGCGTGAAAGTCAGCGAGAGAGAGAGAGAAGAGGAGAGAGAGAATGAGGGGGAGACAGAGACAGAGAGAGACAGAGAGAGAGAAAGAGGGGGAGACAGAGACAGAGAGAGACAGAGAGACAGAGAGACCGAGACAGATAGAGAGAGGGAGACCAACCTGTCTCTGCCGTTGTCGCCAGTTCGGTGACGGCGTGGGACACGCCCCCTACCGCCGCGCCGACGACATTCCCCACAGACCCCAACGACGAGGAAGGCCTTGCCGCTCGCCCTTCACCGGACACCTAACAAAAAAAAACTCAAACAAACAAAACAAACAAACACATCAGCAATACACATGAGACACGAGACAAAAAGACACTTTCATCATCGCGAAGGTTTCGCCGACCCCTGAACCCCGCGGATGCGTTTCGGATTTTACACGGGGTGGGGGGAAGTGAATCAACACACAGCATGCACGACGCACCTCCCTCGCCGCGGCCCAGGCAGCCGCCGCCGTCTCGGCCATGTCGGCGAAGAGCATGTCGTCCTCAGACTCGCGAAGGACGGCGCAGACGTAGGCGCACGACGCCAGGGCCAGGCAGTAGCCCCTCCAGCGGCCGATGGGCGACTGCTCGCGCACCGAGCAAAACGCACAAAAAAAACGCACCCACCGACAAGCAGGGAAGGGGGTGAAATCCCAAGCGCGGGCGCGCCGGTGCGTTTGTGCGTTGAGTGAGGTGTTCATTTTGGTTTCGTGATGGGTACTTGTGTTGGGCACCGTCACGATCGAGCGAGAAGATTTCGGGATACAGCAGTAGTTATCGTGCGGTGTGTGATGGGTGCATAGGTGTGCAGACAACGGCAGCATGCATCATGAATGAATGCGATATTGCTGCTTGTTTGGTTTTGCACGCGAGTACCAGTCCATACACCCAGAAATAAGCAGACAGACTTATAAAAAAACAGACTGAACGCGCGTGAACGCGACAGGCAGCAAGAGTGGTAGAAAGAGCACCAGTGGCAACTTACCGTCGCTCCTCTTGCCGTTCGTAACACCGGCCCGATAATTCAGACTCATGAAGCCCCCACCCATGCCACCACACACAAACAGTCTGCTAAGTACGGAAAGATTCAAGTCCATCGCCACAACAACAAAAAAATTAAACGACTTAACAATGGCACTCATGTCTTGCCTACATCATCGACTACCCAGCGGACGAGAGGTGAATACAGCATCTTCCACCGCCGATGGAAAACCGGAAACAGCACGCCCACGCAAGTACCAAGTACTGGAAGCGTTAACGCGCATTTGAGGTCATCATCCCACCTACTTGCCAAGTACACCGATTTTCGTGTGCCCCCTCCACCCCCCTTCCTTTCGCACCTTATCCCCCCCGTCCTCTTGCCCAGGGCCCACCATCGCCGCCTCCAAGGCGGCCGCCCAGGTTGCCGTTAGCCCGTCGGCCGCCGAGGTTACCCCCCCCGCCCCCCCCCCCCCCCCCGGGGCCCCTTTTGTGGCCTCCCCCCCCCCGGAGGCCTCGAAAAACGAA